TGGGTAGTTCATGTGTCAGTCCTATTGATAATTCTACAGTCTTTTTAGTTGGTGGAGAAAAGTATACTCCGAATACTGGCACTTATATACTTTCTTCATCAATATACGTATTTAATTCTAATTTGTCACAATGGACAACACCAAGTATTAATAACATTAATACTAGTTTTGAGATGCGTTTTGAAATGCAAGCTGTTATTGACAATAATGGGGTTATTTTTGCTTTTGGGGGATTAAAACACAACACTAGCACATTCAACACATCAATTGGTATACCATATAATGATATGAATATACTTGATACTATTAACATGACATGGTCTACTTTAATTCAAACTCAAGGTTTGCCTGCTTACGTTGATTATACCGCCATATTATTACAAAATGGTCTTATAATTTATTTTGGTGGACGTGAAGGTTCAAATTTTATTCCTGTCGCTAATTTAAATCAGGTATATTCTAAATAATCAATTACAATAAAATGCACCTATGATGTTCAACACCATATTTGTTTTACTGTATTTACTAACTGCTAATTGATTAAGATACTATATAACAATTATAATGCTTAACACCCATGTGCATTTTATTAAACCCATAAAGAATAATAATTAAGTTTTTACCTTAACTCTAAATACAGATTCGAATATTTAATACCAAAACTTACTTATGGTCTAATAAAGTAATGTACATAACCAATATCACTGTGAATAATGCTGTAATTACGTAAATCTGATTTTTAAAAAATTGTGTTTTGTTTAGACTGCTAGTGGCTCTACTATTAAATCTCGTATTGGACACACTGCCGTTTTAAGTATGTTGCGTAATATTGCGTATAATAGCATTTAAGTAAATGTTAACCTTGGTTTTGCTAATTATTATTATTATCTTTTTTTTTTGTTAGCTCAAAATGGGAAAATCATTGTATATGGAGGTGGATTATTTAATGGTGCACTCTACACTAATATATTTTCGGATATTTCAGTATTAAATTCAAATACTTGGGCTTGGTCTATTCCAAGTGTTTTTGGAACAAATATTCCTCCCCCACTTGTAGATCATTCTGCTGCATTATATAATAATTATATGATCCTTGCATTCGGTATTTATTTTTATTTTATCTATTTATTTTATTTACTGTTGAACATTACTAAAAAAAATGATTTAATTTTAAATATTCAGGTCAGAAATCATTATCGAGTAATAATACATTCACCAATAATATTTATATTCTCGATACACAAAATTATACTTGGATTACTGCTGTAAATTTATCTACGGAAACCATCCCAACTGGAACAACACCTGCTACAAGCTCAAATGCTGCAACATTTAATACAACATTATATATTGGAATGGGTATTGGTGCGAGTGTAATTATTTTAGTTTTAGTCCTTGCAATCGTTGGATTTTTAATTTATAAAAAACGAAATGAATCTGTTAGAACACCAGGAACATTTAATAATATTACGAATAATTATAATTATACGCGTGAAACTCATATGCCTGCAGTTATGATATAATTTTAGAATAATTAAACTATATACTGTAATATTAATTAATATTGGTTTATGTAATATATTGAATATAAGAGCATAACATTACTGTTATATAATAATCATTTATCTTTATATTATCTATAATATAAGTTGCAGTTTTCGATGGGCGTCCTGAGTGGATGATCTACATAATTGTATTTGTATTTTAAGGCACAAGTAGTGCAATCGCAAATATTATAGAATTTATATCAGTTAAATAATCGTAGCAAATGACAATCACACTAAAAATTTTCTATAGGTACTAAATATGTATGCTACCAAGATAAAACCTATAAAATTATTTTGGATTTGCGATTTTCATAAAATTGATCAGATAAATTCTTATGGTATGATCGTCACTGGGGTAATCTGGCTTAAGGATCAATAGAACAGTAGATGAATGTGAACGACGAGAATCTGAGAAAACTCTAGGTAAAAAGCGCGTCGTGGCAGTGTATAGGGTAATCTGAAATATCAGCTTAGGTAGTAGAAAGTTAAAAAAAAAAAAAGGTACTGATTAGCACTTGACGATAATAACATTGCTTACTGCATAGTTTATGTTTTGCGCAAGAGACAGTAAAATATATTGTTAATCAACTTATTTTATGAGTGATGAACAAAGAAAATCTGTAAATTGACTTGCTTACTTAACTTCATCGGACTTAGCCCCTAAAGAATATGATCCCAAATGATTATATGTAATTAAAATATGGGTTGGCAGGGACACGGAAATTTTTCGAAGAAATTTTTAATATGTAATTTTTTTTCAAATTTCGAAATTTTTTTGGATACAATTTTTATTATGTGATCATAGAATGATTGGCTGTTAATTGTTTCAAATCAAAATTTTTATCTAAATCGATCGAAATTTTTACTTTTAATCGAAAGAATATTTCCGTGTCCCTTGGTCACTTGATAACTCTGAAGTCAGGTGTTCTATTTTCTTGAGGTAACACCACGGTGTAATTATCCGATTGGCGTTTGTGTTTTGACAATCGATAAAACAGGAATTTGAGGTTTCTATTTAACTACCTAAAACCACTTATATTTTTTACTATGAAGCCAAAAAAGCTCCCAAAATTTTGTGGCCTATTTGCTTTATACTATGTAAACTTTCATTTAATCTGATTTCATCTTAATTTCCCACAATTATGCACTTTTCTACCGTTCTAGTTGGCTAAAACAAGCTCAGCCAATCAGAATTACAGTTTTTTGGATAAAAATCTAACATATATTATTCGAAACCCACATGAGACATGTTAATTGAAATGAAATAAAATATTATACGATATTGTAATATAAGATGATAACGATTATATATGTATTGTTTTAATACCTTCTTAAATTTACAATACATTTTTTATTTGATTGCCATAAAAAATTTTCGTGGCATCCTGAGGTGTTCTTTTTTTCGCCATGACTAAAGTTTACCAATTTTTACTGTGAAATGTCCATAAAGAAAACTGATTAAATACAACTGGTTTGTTTCACACCTAAACTTACTGAGAGGCTTATTCCGAAATATTTCTCTTCCATTAAAAGTTTTCAAGTCCTCTTAAATTCTACGATACTAATATTTTATGAATACGAGCATTTCACACATTCATTTTCGTACTAGATTAAATGAGACCAGACGATCAAATGTGATACTCTATCGTTTTTAAAGTTAACGTAATATACAAATATGGCAATTTAAATACAGGATTTCATACTACTACTCCACAAATAAGGTAAAATTAAAACGTCGTGTCACATATGCAGTATATATGCGCGCATTCTTGATCAAATGAATATTTCACTAGCAAAGTAGTCATGTCAGGAGAGTGGATCGACAAAGCTATTTCCGATAGTCATTAATTATGTTGAATATAAAAAGTTTATAAACCCTACAGTGATTGGTAAAGGAGGTTTTGGAAAAGTTTATAAATACGAATGGAGGGACTGCGATTTAACAATTGCCCTCAAAAAATTTATTAAGATCGATATTAATGAAGTTGAAAATAATATGAATAACTTGAATGACCTTATTAATGAGGTAGTTATTATACCTTAAAGATCTAAAAATAAAATAAAATAAAATAAAATAAAATAAAATAAAACTTTATCTACTTTTAATATTAATTGAATTCCTATTGTTATAAAGCTTAAAATATTACAAAAAGTTGGTAATCATCCAAATATTATTGCATTCCACGGTGTTACAAAAGGTAGATTTTACAACTTATTATTTCTGAGCTTAATAAATATTTTAATTCAAATTATTCGTTATCATTCGAATAAATAGATGATACCGGATTTTATAATGTGATTTTACAATATGCTGATGAAGGAAATTTACCGGATTATCTGAATGCAAATTATACAAGATTGCAATGGACAGATAAATTACTAATTGCCAAAGAAATATCTTATGGTCTCTTGTTCTTACATGAAAATAATGTCATTCACAGGGACCTTGTAAGAATTATTATGCATTTTACATTGTGTGTTCATTTCATGTTCATTGCATGTTAATGAATTTTAATTTACAATCCCCTCTTATAATATAGCATCCAAAGAATATCTTAATTCATCAAAAGCACCCTAAAATCGCTGACTTTGGGCTGTCAAAACAATTAAACGAGATGTCAAAGACTTCCAACATGATTTTATATGGAGTGTTAGAATACACAGAACCTCAATGTTTTAACCAACAAAATTATAAACGCAATATGAAATCTGACGTTTATAGTTTGGGAATAATTCTCTGAGAAATTTCGAGCGGAAAATCTGCATTCAAAAGCTTTGAACAAAGGAAAGTTCTCTTGATGCACATACTTCAAGGATATAGAGATGAGCCGATAGCAGGTACACCACCTCAATACATTGACCTTTATAAGAAATGTTGGGATAACGAACCTACTAATCGTCCAGAAAACAAAATCAATTTTTGAAACATTAAAACGTTTAATCCAAAATGATGATAATAAAAATTTAAATCACTCTGTCACTAATGAACTAACAATTAAAAATGATGATGAAACCTCTTCCTTAAGTCGAGTAACCATATCATCTTCGAATAGCTTTAACTCAATGAATTCGTATAAAAACAAAATTTATGCAGAAGGAAATTCTCAAGAAATTAACAAATACAATGAAAATTACAATTCATTAAATGAACTTATTTCTTAATCAACCTTAGTCTTTACAAATGTAAGACTAACAAACCTTTCTGATGATAATTTTATTGTGACTCTTTCAAGTTAAAGAATTCATTAATTGAATGTTTTTGCAATACTCTATCTTGAAATATTGACATAAAATTGAATATTTGTTTAATTTAGTCATTAATACAGAATCATGTCGATTAGAAATGACATTTCTGGATGATATTCAAGTCTCTTTTAATTCTAAGACAATTGGCAAGATGTCTTAAAGCATAAAACGATTAAAACCATACCCCAAAAGAATATTCAATTGAAAATGAAATTCACTCCATTGGATGAGTTTAATTCATTCAGCAGAGCTTTGTTTTCGGATGAACAACTTTGCTGGGATCTAGAAGGAAATACTTCTGTCAAACTTATGAGCTTGAATCCGATGGAAGTTAAATTATTAAAACATATTAAATTTGATGGTTTGTATTAATACTATGTATAAGTGAATTCGGAATCTTTAGAGTTTTGCTTCTTGACTAAGTCAAAAGTAGATTCTAATTTCATTTTAATTTCTAACTTGTTTTGATTGTTCGTACCTAATTACATAATAACACTTTCTATTATTTTGATGTGTACAGGAATGAAAATTTTAACTATTAATAACATTGATGCATCATCAGATCATCCTGATGGTGGGATTGCTTTTAACGTGAATATAACAAATACATCTCATATCAGAGTAGAATTAGGTGACATACAGTTCGATATTAAATATATGGATCAAATTATTGGAAAAATTTCTTCAAAAAGATTCTCAAACGATCGTAATACACTTTCATTCAGTGGATGTTTACTTCAACCAGATACTTTGGAGGGATTAGATGCAATAACTGATGTATTTTCTAAAATATTATCTAGGGAAGAATTACAATTTACCTTTGACACAAAAGAATGTTTTGTTTCTTGGTTAGATATAACCTCATTAATTATGATCATTACTAAAGAAACAAAGATTAATTTCGATTATGAACTTATTAAATGTGCATGGGACTTTAAATTTGATCCGAAAGATCAATATGCTCTGGAAGTATCTTTACATAGTGAAATAAAATATTTTAATTTATTTCCACTGGGAATTCATAAATTTTCTTGTGAAAGTGACATGATTTATAAAGGATTACACAACTTGCCAAATTTAATATTCCATTGACAACAATTTCAGACTCTTCAGGTATTATTGAGTCAAGCATTAAAACAAAGCTTAGATTATTAGAAGAATCTAAGGATTTATTTAGTGAAATAGCAAAAAAAATGTATCAGGATGAGGAATTTATTCTCAGTATAAAGGGAATATAAATGTAATGGCGAAAACACCAGTTGGTGACATCCAAGTTAAAAAAATCGAATTTAATTTTGATAAAAATATTAAGTGTCATATTCAACCAGGAATTATGATCAAGTCTATGAAAATCATTGAAGCAACGAAAGATGTCCTCGAATTTAAAGCAATAGCTACTATAACTAATTTTTATAACTTTTCAAATATTAAAATTGACCTTGGTATTAATGTCGAATTTGATTTAATATCTGAACAAAATATTAAAATTGCAAAAATAACAATAGAAGATTTTGAAATGAAGTCTGAAAATAGATATACTACTGTTAGATTAAAATATTTACCAAATACAGATAATGGTCATCTTATAGGGAACTATTTAAATGGAATAGATAGTTTATTATCCATTAAAGCAACCAATAAGACAATTTCGATATCTTTATTGCAAAAAGCTTTTGAAACTATATAATTAGAAGTTATTCTTCCGGGTTTAGATGTTCCATTTATTGATGAAGTGGAGGTCTCTTTTACTACTAAAGATTCATTTATGCTTCATAATCCACTTCAAACTAGATTACATTTATTTGGTTTTAATGCTAAAGTATTTAATGCGGCTAATGAACAGATTGCAGCTGCGACAAAAAAACCTAGTGACTTTGGAATAATTGTTGAAGCAGGACAAACTGAAAAAATTAATATAGAAAGTTCAAACATGGACATAAAAAATCTTTTTAAAAATATTAATGATTGTGTTTATGGTGTTAAAGAGAATTTAGAATGTGTTCTAATGTTTGGTATTGGTGAAAATAATCCTTATCGAATTGATTTGAATTATGGTAAAATATTTTATATTTTGATACCTGTAATTCTATTCATGATTTCATGCTAATTTATTTGTTTTTAAACAGTACAAAAAGATGTAAAAGTTATTTGGAATGTTGGTTTTGCTAAATTTTTTAAATTTTAGAGAGATTATCTAGTTTGATTGTTCATATTACAATATATATGTGTGTACATATTGAATTATGTATTTTTTATACAGTCAGCCTTCCGTAAATGCACTCTCCTTGTGAAAATAGGCAAGATTTTCAAAAAATGTGCATTTAAAATTTGTGAAGAGCATTTGATCAATGCTTCATATACCTGGAACTGAAGACTAATGTGTATTTAGAAATAGTATACATAGCGCGTGGGCAACGCCAGGGCATAGGATCGATTTATTATCACATGATTTTCCGAAATCAATATTCTTGGAACAAAAAATTTAATTTATGTAAAGGTTTTTGGTATTAATTAGAAATAAAAAGGGACACAGTATAACAAAATTGCACGAGGAAATTTTTCGGAAGAACCAAATGCCGGTTTACTATAAGTTTTAAGATAGATGCGAGTTTTGCAAAGCGAACGTTTGTTTTAATTGGCTAATTGATGCCTGAAAATTACATGACAGTAAAATCGATCCTACGCCCTGGTGTTGCCATAGTGATGATGCATTTATTGAGGGTTGACTGTAATAATTTTATTAATAAAGTTTAGGATTGAGGTTTTATGTTAAAGGTAAAATTAATCTTAGAGATTTTTGAAACACTAAATACAGTATTTTTACTGCATGCAAGTTCCGAATTGAGTTTGTAAAATTGTCTATTTCAACTCTTTAACAAGGCTATAATTCTTTTCGAAATTGTCTACGAGCCATTTTTAGATTTTGCTTATGATAATTTTATTTTTTTATGCTATTATATTAAAAAGAGCCACTACAATGCTGCATTTAATTGAAAATCTATTTTTAAATTGTTCTGTATCTTGGTCTATTTCGTTAGCTGTGTGAAATATTCGAAAAAGACGTCATAAAAGCAGTCCCAAGTTCCTATTAAACAATTAGGAATCCTGACCCTGATTGGATAGAATATATTTGACTTTCGGAAATTCAGTTCTGACACCACAAAAAAAACAACAGAATACAGCAAACATACAGCAAAGACAGTGCCCAATCCAAAGTGAATCCCTATCAATCACAAATTAAATTATTTATGCTGGATTCAATTGTGATGGATATAATCCCTCACCAGTTTTAATATACGCGCAAAATTAACGGTCTCTGCTGTTCAGCGAACATGAAAATAATGAAGCATACCGTTAATGTTAATATTAAAAAATAACTAAATTGAGCAAAAAAAAATTTATTAAGACATAAAAGATGATTTCATTGGTTGGTTTTCTCCCATCGTTTTATTTTACACGTAATTGACGGAGAGTGACGTAGTCTACTCCGTCCAATCAGAGATGACATTTACATACCCCAATCAGAACTGGAAGAAATCATTGTTATTGTCTACTCCGCGGGCAATAACTGATTTATTCCACGATTCTATTTATACTTCCATACTATGTTTTAACTAAAAGTAACGTATTTCGTAAAAGTTTAGATTATTGATCATGAGGTTTCTTCTATTCGTTGGTTTTTTTTTTTTTTACTCTGTGCCTTTTTTTTTGGCAATGCACTAAAAAGTCGTAAGGTACGTATAAAGAAATTAAATTAAACCAAAAAAAAAAAATACATATAGTCAAAAAGGAAATGTAAAAGTTTCGGATCAGTCCGAACTCAAGATCTGGCAATAAGAAAGAACTAGAATGGAAGTATAAATAAGAACCGTGGAATAAATTAGCGTTTTCCTATGTTACACCAACATATATATAGACTAGAGTTTTTAGGTTTTCTTATAATTAGTTGGTATTCTTTTCATCGCTGTTAATTTCTTTTTCGTTTGAAGCTTTAATCAAGGTTTCAAACCCAAGATCTGGATTTGCGATCCCAGGTAAGGGTTCGAGACCAATGTTTGGGCTTGAAACCCTCGGAGGTAAAAACGTGCGTAACCTAATAAAAGAGAGAACTCTTTCTGCTTCGACTAACATAAATAATGTAATACATCTCCGATAACCTTAACTTCTGTAAAACCGTTGTACGCACTATTTTAACAAGTGTGCCGTCAACATGCATCGACTAAATTTGAAGCTTGGATCAACTAAATACTGGAAAGATTGACGACCCTAAAGTTCACAGCACTTATCCATAGACAATAACAACTATATAAACACCGATTTGCGCTTGTAGTGGAAGAAACCTACTAAGATACCTACCTTGACCGGCCGTATCTTGTGTTTATGTCTGTGACCTTCTGCTAAATTGGCGTGGTAACGAACCTGTCTCTCTCCTTGATCGCGACACTGATGTCAGAATATCGACGTATGCGTATGTTCAAAATACGTACGTGCTTTTAATGGTGCAATAAAAAACCAATGCAATGGACATTGCGTGATCAAAAAACCCTATTCAAATTTCCATCGATTTAAATATAAAAACTTACTATTTATTATCATGACTTTTAAATTTGTGATATGCTCAAGTTATATCTCGTTTTACCTGTTCATTTTACAGATCTACCTGTATATTTCGATTTGTGCATTATATCGCATCTGATTTTGTTTCACTTGAATTGGATTTACAATGGCCTGTTGTTATAATGTTTACTCGTAAAATTTTACATGTGCTAAGGTTAGAACTTACTTGAAGTTGCAATTTCAGCACACAGAATTACACCTGCGAAAATTGCAAGGTGTTCTAATGGTTGTCACTCAATTCCCCGAAAGTTATTTGCCCCTAACACATTATTTCGATAAGACATATAGTTGATATATTTTCAACAACCCTTTTCTTAGACAAGACATTTCTCCGACAATCAATTAAAGATTTTTGTAAAAACTTTTTGCTCGACTGAAGACATAAATGAGCTAAGCTATGGAATATCAATTACATCATTTATGGCTCTTTTGAGCCATATCTCAGAAAATTTCTTTGCACTGGGGGTTTAGGATAGATAAACTGATTTTCACAATCGAGTTTATGAGCTACTCTAGTATCGTCGTAAAATTTTATTTTCACGTGATCACCTAATAGCAAATCTCGTTTTAATGTAACGTTACACGATCAGGAATATCAAAACAAAACGTTCGTTTTTCAAAAATCGCTTACTTCCCAAAAACTTGCATAAGAAACCATCTTTTGCACTCTAACAAAAAAAATTCATCAAGTGATTTTATTATTACTTTTTAAACCCTAGCTTTAGTATAAATACTAACCCTAACTTATAGATTTTTAAACACTGTTATGTGAAAGTAAAATTTTAACAGAAAAGAAGAGTTTATGGGTCATGTGCTGAAAGGCAACAAATTTAACCAATAAATTGATCAAGAAAATTCAAAACAAATATTTGTTTTGATTTTATTATCTTCTATTATGAAGTTTAAAAATATAAATTATTTTAATAATAATTTTGAATTAGAATACATATAGAAAAGCATTAAACACATTTTTTGTAAGATCATTATACTCATTTTTTTGAATATTTGATGTAATTTAAAATAATTAAAGTTTAAAGATAAAAGATTATTATATTAATTTTAGATTTTTATATAAAATATTTGAATAAAAAAGTAAGTATTATTGATAATTATTTTTAATAAATATACAAATATTAAATATATATAAATATAACAAAGAAAAATTAGTTGATTTATATAACAAAAAAAGAAAAAATCAGTTATATATTATTTTTCATCAAAAGGGTTTAATTTTTAATAAAAAAATTGATTATAATCTTTGTTTATATAGTAATAACTTTGTTAATATATTTTTGTATTTAATATTTCTTTTAATTTTTTTATCTTTGTCTAATTATATTTATTATAAAATATAATGCATTTCTAATTTTAATTTTGTTTATATAGATAATATTGAAAGTGTAATTTTTTTTAAAAAGAATTTAGTTAAATAAATTTTGCATAATAACAAAAGATAAAACCCAAACTTAATAATAACAAAATTTGTCAAATTTATTATTAATTTTAGTTTATTTGTATTAATTTAAAATATATATAATTAATATAAATAAGTTATTTATAAAAAATTATTATTTAAAAAGTTTTAAATATCATGTAATAAATATATTAAATATTAAAAATTCATATAATTTAATAAAAAAATATATAACCAAAAATTCAAACTAACAAAATAATAATAATATAAGTAATAATTGAATTAATTATTTATTTTTATTATTTTTTTTAATAAGTAATCAATTACTTAGCCAAGTTAGCAATTTTTATTAATTAATAATATCTTAAGTACATATATAGTTTATAAAAATACAACTAGTTATATGTACAACTTTAGTTATTGTCTATTTAAAAGTTTTGTTTTAAGGTTATTTATTATTTGCTATGCCTAAATTCTGCTTATAAGTGTTCTATTTAGACTTTCTGGATTACCTAATTAGTATTTGTATAATTCTAATTATTTTATTCTAAGATTGAACAACCTTATTACTAACTCTTATTAAGAACTATTTAGATTTAATTTTATTTTTTTTTGTATTAGTATCTAGACTATAACAAAGCCTATTATTTAACAATAAGATGCAGATACCTTTTTGTTAATATTTTTACTTACTTTACAGACCTTAACAAGATTGTGCTCTTATAAAGTTCATTCAGACTCTAGTACTACTTTATAGCATATCTTTAGTATTTTAGCATATCTTTGCTTTTGTTTTTAACTCATAATTCAAATAGTTTATATAGTACTATAACTAGTATATTTATATATTAAATTAGTTTAATATTATTTTTCTTTGATTCTTTTGGTTAGAATTCTAATAGCCTAGTTAGTGATATCTCTTATTTAAAGATTCTTGCCTATCTGGTTTCTTTATATTAATATTTATTTTCTAGATCTAGTCTTTATAATAGTATTGTCAAAGATTTATATTATCTTTTTATTTAGATTTTCTAAATAGACTTCTTGTTTTTCAATGTCAACAAATTTATATAACTATATAAGCTTATTTTAAGTTTGTATTATCTGATATCAGTTTGCATTTCTCTATATAATTAGTTACATATATGTTTTATAATTTATCAATTATACTAATATAACTATTATTTAGGAGTGTAGTGACCTAGTGAAGTGGTCAGGTTGTTAACCTTCAAGTGGCAGATTTAGAGTTTAAATCCCAATATCAATAGAAAATTTGAAAATCCTCTTTGTGTTATAGTTAACTGTTTTTTACAATTGGTTGGAATAAGATATCTGTTATCTATATTGCACTAACATAACTGGCATATTACATGACATTTGTGTAATAGTCACATGAAATTATCATTTAGGACAAGGTATGTGGTTACATGAAGAAATGCAAACCAGTACCAGGCAATGCAAACCAGTACCAGGCAATGCAAACCTACAATAAGTTCTTATAGCCATGTAAATTATAAGAAACAAATGAAGTAAGATGAAAGCCTATTTGAAAGCCCTGAATAGAAAGGTAATCTGAACTTTTGATAGTGCTACTATAAAAACTAGATCTATGAAACAGAGCTAGAACTTGTAAAACTAGACATAGAGCTGGCATTTAAGGAGGGACTGAATTAAACCAACCAGGCTGCTGAAATCTATTCTAAAGAAAAAGATTATATATTAACAAACATGTAAATTAGAGGTGTATAATTACGATCTGCCTTTCCAGACTATCTGGTTTGGGAGCTTGATGAAACTTGAATTGAATACCAAAGTAGTAGAGATATGTTATGAAGTCAGTACTAGGATTGAGATGAACTTTACAAGGGCATAGCAGTTTAATAATATGCTCTAACCACCAGTGTTGGTTTTAGCCATAGTGATACTGAGTCAGCTATAAGAATAGGATACAGAAGATTTTGAAAGATTTAGTACAAAGTCAAAGGTTTCTCATATGATTGAACTGCTTTGAAGACTTAGTGATCATGATATATATTCACTAGTATCAGCTGGAGTTGTTGGTAGACAGAAGTAGATAGGTGGATATGGAAACTAAAATAGTTAAATAAGAAACCTACAGGCAGATTTCAAGTATAGCAACTAGTATAAAACCATCAGATGGACTACTTAAATTAGACAATAACTAAAGTTGTAGAAGTGACTAGTTGCACACTTTTTCTATAGTTGTCCTTTGTAATTATAAAGCATCCATTAGTTAAATATACTACTAATAAAATTCTAGATCACAAGTATTCACCTTAATATTTAAAAAAAAAAACTAATATAACTATTATTATAGATATTTTAATCTAATTATTAGAAACAGTTACTATAATATAGATGAAATTTTTTTTTTTAATACCAATCATAATACTTTATTTAATTAATGCCAGATTAATACATTAGAGTTATTACATTTTATTTGTGTTACTATATTACTATATAGACACCCAATGTAACATTATATCTACACTTTCTTAAATTAAAACTAGTACTATAGTGTTTCAACTATTGTTACTAATTAAGGTAAGATTGTAGCCACCTTGTAATACTATATTCTCTAATTCTATCTGACTATAGTCCCCCTATCTACTTCCTGCAGTAACCCATTCCTTCTTCCAAATTGGTTGACTTTGGCAGTTTCTTGCTCTTCTTGCTACCAATTTGGTGTACACAGCCCTCTATATATTGGTACAAATCAGCATGGCTGGATTTATCAAGATTCTGAATTATCATCTGCAGCTACCACATACTTTTTTTTGTGTACTTCCATAGTTGTAATACTATTGTACTTTCAATTTGGTATTGCAAGAGGGCCTGGAACCTTGACTTATTACATATAAGTATGGTAACCATCAACGATGTTGTGATATATGACTATAGTTTTGCTTCTTAAGGGTTTATTGTACCTGCCTAAGATGTTTTAATTTTGGTTAGACCAATCCTTTGTTACAGATCTTCTTTGCATGCACCGCTTTACTCACTACTCCAGTTTAACTACATTAGTATTACTCTTCCAATCAAGTCTCTGCAAATTGGGTACAGAGATGTTAGTGCTGCATTATCTCAATAGGACTTACTCGCACAACACTTTTAATAGTAAAACTTTCTGTAACATCACTGTTACACATAGTGCCTTCTCTCTG